GTCTCGGGGAATTCCTCCTCTCGTTCGGAGCGAAAGGCTCGTTTCGAGGTCGCCTCTCCTCGCGTCTAGGACCCACAACGCGGTCCTGACTGTGCGGGCCCGACTGCGATTTGGCAGCGGATCTTCGCAACCCGTAGGAGTATGGATCAAGCGCCCGATCAGAAATCTCTCGTGCGTCTCGACCCCGGGCGTCGGCATATGCCGTGGAGGCCTCGGCCCGGCGGGAATGGGGAGCGACAGGGTCGCCATTCCACGCGCACCGCGGCTCAAGAGATGCCGTGGGTGGGGGTGGGGGCCGGTAGGCTCGAGCCGCAAGAATGTCACCTTGAATGCGGCGAGCCTCGAGTGCCAGGTCATCCAGTGAATGGAAACGGCTGCCTCGAAGGTAGGCGGAGAAAGTCGGGTGCGCCTGCCGAATGACACGCTCAACCCGTTCCGCATTAGGGGCCGAGGGGTCAGCGAGAAGGAACAGCTCCTGCATCGCCCTCACGTACTCCAGCAACGATTCGTCTGGGTGCTGTGTACGCCGCTCCAACTCCCGTCTCATCCGCCTTTCGTAGTCAGCGGGGAGAAATTCCTGGCGAAACAGGGCCCGGAATTGATCGAGAGTCAGCGCGTTTTGTCCGCAAAGGCGGAACCACCGCGCAGCTTGGTCAGTCAGTGCGACAGGCAGGACTCGGCCAAGAACCTCTTGATCGACCATTCCCGTGGCCTGCTGGTAATGGAGCAGGTCCTCGAGAAAGTCGTTCGCGCTTATGGAGTCTCCGTAACCCTTGTACTTGGGAATTGGGACTCGCACAGGTGGTCGCAGTGCCCTGGGTGCCTGCAGTACTGACTGCATTGCACCGGTCAAGCTTTCAATGACTCGCGCCGCTTCTTGTAGCAGCACATCATGAGAGCTCCCAGCACCAGCCCCAAAGGGAGCGGCGCTAGACACCGGCGGAGCCCGGGGGCCATCTCCAAACAGAGAAGCCTCCAGGCCGCTAACGGGCGACGCGCCAGCTCGGAAGGGAGCGGGGTCGCACGGAGCCGGTGGACGGACATTGTCGGCGGGCAACTCAATCAAGTCGCCGGAAGCATTGACTCCAATCGGGGTCGTGCTTTGCGCGGGCCAGGGTGGGATATTGCCTCGCGGCAGAGGAACCGCTTCGTGGCCATCGGGCAGCGCGCCGTCCCGAAGGGGAGAGGCGCCGAACTGCACGGAACTCCGAGCGGCACCACAAAAGAGGGGCGCGCTCGGTCCAGCCGCCGGGTTGCCTCCCATCGGGAAGCGACCGGGCGGTTGCCGAACCTGATAACCGTCTCGGACAGGAGAAGTTGTCATGTGGCTGCCCGGCAGGGCGTCAGCTTGAACAGTAGCTACACCCAAATGCCGGTGATCTGCGCCGCCTCCGAGGGGAGTGGCATCGAAGGAGCCCCCAACGCTGGCTCTAATAGGAGCGGCGTAGGGCTCTGGCCGCAACAGAGAGCCGTCTCGGAAAGGAGAAGCTCTCGTGGGCCCATCAACCGAGGCGCTTCCTCCAATCAGAGGTGCACCTGGCTGGCTCGGCGACAACACACGGCTTGCATAAGAGGCAGCCGGGTCACCGATGGGTACGAGGGGATCAGAAGTGAGCCCTCTCGTAGCCACTTCTGCCAACGTGATCAGCGACCCAAGATTGGGCTGACCTGTCGACATGGCGTGAAAGGGCAGACAACAGTGCTAGCCAAACGTTCAACGAATGCCACGACCGCGATAAAGGAAGTCGTGGCCCCACGTTGGGCGCCAGAATATGTGGGATGGTCACGGGTGGTGGTAACCGAAGGGTTCAGCGGCGGTCTCTAATCAGGAGACGCCAAGCCTACTCCCACACCCCGCAGCTTTCTCTCGAGAACACCGCTACGGGCGGGTCCGAACGTCAGCCGCACAACTGATCGCTTCTCTAAAAAGGAGGAGCACGTACCACAATAGGACTGGGTCCAACGGTGTTTATTGGAACACCAAAAGACACACTGTCCCCAAACCCCCGCGCCGACAAGGTCAGATGAAAGGCTCACCCTGTCGACACCGTCCCGAGAGCGCAGTCCGGAGCGGGCAAAGGAAGTCCTTCGCGACACGTCCGATCTCTATCGCATCCGCGGGAGGAGTCCCCCCCACGTTCCCGATGTCGGGAACGTGCGTCGACCTCCTCCCCCCGCGGGCGTCGTCCTCACCCAAAACAACTAGGTCCCGGATGAGCGGGGGGACGGAAAAGGTCCCCCCGGGAGAGAGTGAGGAGGAGAGCCCCCCAAGCCAGGCGGCTCTCCTACGCTTCACGAACAGGTTGAAACTCACGGCAACCAGGCCGCGCGTCCCGAACCACGGCCGTTATACCGGCCATCGGGGAAGGGCGACCAACGGTCCCCACAAACTGGAACGGAAACTCGTTAGGTTTCCGAGAGAACGGCAGGCGGAACGGCGTTCTGCTTTCTTCGTCTATATATCTCAAATTTTACCCGAATTCAGTAGGCATTAAGGTTATTTGTAGTTGTTTTTTCGCCTATTTCAGCATCGGCTTTAACGCATGGGGAAGTGTCCGAGAGATAGTCGAAAACTAACAACTTGAACAAACGTGATCGTGGAGATACAACGCGTTGTTCGGTGTTAATATTTTCACAAGCTTGCTTATATTCAGTGCACGGCCTATCCAGCACAACATCGTATCAAAATATGCTAATGTAACCTTAAAGAACCCTGCAAGGACTTTTTTACTGGTTCCTAATTTGCACCGAACCTGAGCGCACTGAACGTAGTAACTCGATTAAACTTTTCTGTTCTGGAATTTTGCTTTATTTTGAAAGTTAAAGGCAAATTAAAATTACAAAAACAAGCAAAAAATAATTTCCTTCATGACGTCCTTGGTTGCTTGAGGGACCGTAAACTAGAGGAGGGGTAGTGAGCTCAGCCAACGCTCACGGCTGCCGCAGTGTGTGTCGACGGCTCGAGACGGCGCCACTAAAGCATGCTCTGAATAGACTGTATGAAGCGGGAAGCCAGGGCGGCTCACATTGCATTTGCTGCGCGATTCAACACTTATTCGGCATGACACTTATTGGCCACAAACGTCAGCAAACACGGGGTAAAGATCACTTCAGAGCGGGAGTCACTTCGCGCTGCCATACCGCCAAAAGGCCAAACCGCAAGCCAAAGCTGCTCGCCGAAGGCCTTCAGAACACTCGGAACCTGTCGGATCCTCCAGTCCATACGACCGCAGCGCCGCCGTGTACATCCGGAGCCTTTCTACATTCGCCGCTCGTTGGTGCCTGATGCCGCTACACGTTTCTATACTTCGTTTCAGCTTCCGTCCGAGCGCAGCCGAATGCTGAGGGACGGTTCGCAACTTCGAGAAAAGCACTCCTACGCAGCACGAAGTGGTCCGCAAAAGTACTATTTTTAAAATAACTGTTTTGTGCTTAAATATTGCACAACATTCCGGATGTGTACTGCTAAGAATGATTTGCAACTAAAGGAATTAATAATCTGAAGTTTATGTTTTTTGTTATTAAATGTAAATGCATGTAATTTGCGCTGCAGCCGTGTTGCCAGCATCCGCTGGCAACACGGCTGCAGCGCTCGGTTTTTGTGTGTTATTTCGTTCCCGTAATGGCCGAATCATGTGCTTCGCTGCTTTCCTCACCCAGTCGCTTCAAAACGTCCTTTCGCAAAGGCACGTTTGGGTGTCAGACGCGAAGGGTCGTGATGATTGTTGAAATTCGGCGGAAGACTCCGGCAGTGTCGTACCGCGAATGCGTTGTAAACAAAGGAGAGCGTCCAGGCCATTACAATTCACTGATACGCGACGAAATCAGGGCTCCCCTTTACCTGCCGATCACATACTGCGCCGAGAAGCTGGTGGAAAGGACTGGGCTGACTGCGCCTCGAGCCCATGGTATATCCAGACAATACAAAAAAGCATCAGCGGCCGGGTCATCGGGCACCTTGCATTATGTATTTCTATCTCGAAACTATGCCGAAATGCCGAACAAGTGGAAAGCTGGGACACAGATGCCAGCGGCCAGCTTACGTACGACATCCTTCGTCACTAAATTTCAGAACTTGAGAGGGCACTTTTTAAACCTGTAGGAGATGATACCGTTGATACACCCGTAGCAGACGAAATACTCGGGGAGCGCGGGCGGCGCGGGCGACCAGCGGCAAAGCGGAGTGATACAAGGGTGCAGGCGAGATCGCGTGACCTATTGCCGGCGTGTGATTGGCTCCGGCCACACGTAGCTTTGGCTGCCCTCGGACGGAAGCTGAAACAAAGTATAGTATGCGCCGCCTTTTGCATCGCTTGGTGGCGGGTATGTCGACGGGTCATTTTTTATTTTTGTACTTTCTAAACTGCACTTGTTTCTTTTTTTGATCTAAAATACTGAACAAAAACTACGTTTACAGATAATTGCAACGGTTTGCGCCACTTGTATTTTGTATTTCGAATAAAAATAAGCTTTTAGCGGTTCTCACCAGTAGTAAGCCAAGGACCAAAGAGGCCACATATCGCTCACTTTCGGCACCACGGGTCGCCCCGTAGGGGTAGGAGGTTTCCGCGTTGTCTGGTTAAAATGCGACGCACTGATATTTAGTTACTCTCTCGCTGCCCGCTGTCTTGCCCGAACCTCAAGAGACGTGGAAACCGCAAAATGGTAGACGCTTAAATATGATTGCAGGGCCCCTTTAAAGTAACAACACTTTCCAATGTTAGAAAATTAACGGGATCACGTTCCTTTCGACCCACTGAAACTTGTAGTGGAACTCGTTCAAAGAGAGAGAAGGAACAAGGAGATAGCTTTAATTTTTCGTTCTGAGGAGCGTGCACAACAATGGTATAAAGTAATTTGTTTATTTAGATTAAAACCGGATTTTTTTTTAATTTAAAAATCTATGTTTGTCAACTTGAAACTTTAATCTAAATTAAAATAAAAAGCTCAGTGCCGTTTTACAGTTTTGTTCGCCTGAAATTACACTTTTTTTACAACAGGAGAGATTTAGTTACTGTGGACAACGGCGGACATATGTCTAAGGGAATTGCAGGTAAGCTTCAATATTTCTTAATTTTTGTTATTCTATATCTATTCACATTTAACGATGAACGCAGCAACGCCACCTAGGAAACAACTCGAATTCGGGTTTTAAGTTTTCTGTCTTTATGTTTGCGGAATTAGAGGGTGAATTTTGACATTCATTTGCCTCATTGTATGGTTAGCTAGAGAAATAAAATAAGCGTTTTCTGGCACCTATAAATAAAACTGTCGTTGGTTTTGAAAAATAAAATATATCAAACATTTTCGCAAGGCATTTGAGACCTACTTTTTGGTTACTATTACTCACGTAGGAGGCATTAAATAAACATATTCAATTCAATTGTTACAGTTTAACGTATTATAAGAAATGCACAATTACGAGTAGGTTCAAGAATTTTCGTCACTCAACTTGCGAAAACGCGCTTTCGACACTTAGATCACCGCCTGAAGAAGCCACGATGTTCAATACCCCCACCTGACGAACACAGCAGTTGAACAAGGACCACTTCTTCGAAACGATTATATTGGCTGCTTCTTTTTGCACGTTTCCCGGTCGCACATTTCCCAATTTTAAAGCTAGAGATTTTCTGCGGGAGCTTGAATTCCTTCCAACTTCCCCAACCTGCCAGTCCCGAGCAGTTCGGAACAAAACAGAGGCACTAATAAATTATATGACAAGGCGTTGCGGAAGGGAATGTATTTCTTAACATATATTTTACAAGATCTTCATTCCCTGTATTTCAATAGTGAAATAGGAGAGTCGAGTGTGCACTCCGGTGAAGCATGAAAACTGCCTTTCCCAATGGATTTTACTATCTATCCCGTGGCGCCTTCTATGAGCAACCTTTCGTAGTAACTTCAGAATCGCGGTCATCTTGGGTTGATGCACAGCGACAGACTACTTTCATGGCCCCGTTTCTTTGTGTTCAAGGTTTCGAGCTGCGCGCTTCGCGATTTTTGTTGTATGTTTTAGTTAGGCATGTAAGCAGAGTTGCGAGAAAATCACGCAAATGTCGTGTTTGCCAAAGCCGTCAAAAAAAGAAATAAGTAAAATTGTAAACTTTTTTTTTTATGTAATGCTGCGTATTGCTTGTTCGAGTCAGTGGCGTAGCCAGGAATTTTTTCGAGTGGTGCTGAGGTAGGCGAAGTGCCCATGACTTGCGTGTGACACGTTGCGCCATCTAGCTCAAAGTATTTGCAACACTGCAACACCTTTCGCCAGCCTGCTTTCTCGCGGGGCTGTTCAGGCATCAATTTGAAGGTGTTGATTCGTGCATTGTTTTTAACACTGCTATTGGATTTTGCAGAAGACCAAATGTTGAAGCTATAGGCCATGTTGCGTACATGACTGTCGCAACCCCGGAAGCTTAACAGAGGTGAAGGCTCCAGTCGAGGCCGTGGAAAATACAACGCCGTCGGAGATGAATAAATGCCGAAAACGTGTAAAATAAGCATTCCGTTCACATTGCCTCACTCGAGACGGATTTCTAAATGGGCTATTTTACTCGATATTTGGAATTAATATGCTCGAAGCCCGGGGTTGTCTTCGGATTCGACGCGATGACTCTAAAATCAGATCAGTCATTTGTCACTCTCACTGCTATGTGCCCCGTGGATACATCTTGATCGAACGACGTTTTGTGGACGTTTGATCGTAGTAACCGAAAACCTCAGTTTCCGATGTTTAACCGATTTTTTTTCGACACCGGCAGATGTTTATTGGTGCTTTTCAGTTGAAACCGGAAAGTATACAGCGTAACTGTAGGGTGTCCTGTTATGGCACATCTGCACACTTAATCTTTGCGTTTCCTTCGACACCATAATCCCTCAACTCGAGATCGATTTCTTTGCAAATAGCTACCCAAAGAGGAATTACGAAAAAGGAATGTGAGAAATAAATGATCTCTTGGACTTTGCGAGAAAAAGAAAATAAAGACTCTTAACAAGAAGGCAAAACTCTCGCATCCATCTGATCACTATTTATAAACGAGCCCGTTCCATACAATATATGTGGGCCCTGTGTATGCCTGGATGAATGGATGAATGGTTCAATGAATGCACGCATGCCTACCGTGGAACCATTTTACTAATGCAGCTGCTCACCACTTATTCAGTGCTTTCATCAGAGAAGGTATTTTATCAGCCGTATCTCATGAAAACACCATCTTAAAGAACCAAATGTTGATTTTCCCGCTTTATTTAGCGAATGAATTAGCTTGACGTTAGGCCCAGTCTTGGGTAGTAACGCGTTACTGTAACTTCGTTACTTTTTTGGTAACTTGTAACTGTAACGAGTTACTTTTTAAAAGTGTAACTTGTAACTGTAGTTCTATTCCTTTTTCTCAGGTAACAATGAAATTAACGACGTTTCTTTTTTCGTTACTTTCCAGTTTTTTGTATGAATAATATATCATTCAACAAGTACAATATAGCTATTCCTTGTACTTTCCAAATTTGCTGTTCCGGCATTTCGAGTGTCAAGGTGGCCTTGCGGAAACTTTTGATTGCGTTATTTCTCTCGAGTCACGACTCGAAAATAGCCACGTGTAGATGTGATAACAAAAAATCTAGTTATCTTTACGCAGACCCTTGTACTTTGTGGCTGAAAAACTTACATCTTAGTATCTTGAAGCACTGCCTATGTTGCGGTAGTCTTTTTTTCAGCGGAAACGCTTTTTAATCGGGTGAATCAACCGTAAAACAACAATACACGTGGAGGGCACTGCGAATGTTTCATATTTTGATTTGCGCCACTACTTCGGTGTGGTGTCAACAGTTGAGGCAACATTTACTGGTGTTTGCGCGGGGTTTGCTCGTTGCTCTGGTTCCGCGGGGTTTGTTCAGCAAGGGCTGGGACGTGTTCGCCATCAAACGATGGAAACTTTCAGACACTAATTTCAAAAAGCAACTGCTGCAAAGTTACAATATGATGTAAAAAGCATACATTTCTTTTTAAATTTTATGAAAACAAAATTGGCGAGGGGCGTTTTCTCGTTTTTTCTAAATTTGTGTGTTATAAAAAAGTAACTGAAAAGTAACGTCGTTACTTTTTTAAAAGTAACTCTAACTCTAACGAGTTACGTTTTTGTAGCGGTAACTGTAACGGTAACCTCACCACTTTTTTTTTTCTAAAAGTAACTGTAACTGTAACGAATAACGTTTTTAAAAGTAGCTTTCCCAAGGCTGCTTAGGCCACATGACTTCTATTTTTGCAAGGTGGTATTTCGCGCCCGACACAATTTGCTCCCCAAGTATTCGTCAACACGATGGTGCTTGTTTTGTTTTGATTTAGGTTTCGACAGTTAACCTTAGTCCTCAATTTTTTAAAGCGAATTAATGTGCGTACTCTGTTCTAGAATTAGTTACCAACAACTTGACGAGACGTACCAAACCTAGACTGTGAAGTACTTTTTTTTAATACTCTTTAACGTATATTTTCAGGTATGGCAGAAGTCGGTGGTGCGTGTTCAACGTATGCGAACTTTGCCATTGTTGAAGACCGAGGGCAAGCGTACCTTGGCATTCACTTCGCCGTTCACGAATTGGGCCATTCGTAAGTGTTTTTAACGGGACACGTTTCTTGACTAGGTGTTCCGCATCTTGTGAAGCCCAGATAAAAGTGAAGCCTGGATGAAAGCGTAGCCGCGAGGCTCGTCACTGATTGGTTGACTGGTGGGAGAGTAGAAGTAATGTGCTCGACGCTGATTGGTTAACGCGAGACCACGTGAGCAGACGGGTAGGCGAGGAGTCATGTTGGCGAGGGAGAGCTCGACCACCTGTGCGCACTGAGGGAGGGGAGTTCGAGAGTATGGAAGGTTTTGGAAGATCGCCAGGTTTATCAGCCCTGATTAACGGTAATATCGCTTCCTTCTAGGAAGAACTACCAAGTGTACACATGGTACGCGTCAAACTATCTCATGAAGAGTGGCGTGACCTTAGGCATCTCGCGCCTGGAAACTCATTGTATCGCTAAAAGTGTGTCTATAACGTATCAAGTATCCAACATATTTTCCTAGCGATTTGCCACAATTTGTTTGGTTCGTTCGGCTCAGTTTTCCAATAACCAGACTCGAAAAAAGTTAATTTAAAAAATTGTTTTTTTTACAGCCACAGTTACTCTTAGATGAAAGTAGCGAAGTTGCTGTTGCAGTTACTGCAGCGAAAAAGTAATCCGTTCCAGTTACGTTTAATTTTAAAAAGTAACAGCGTTATTTTTAAGTTACTTTTCTCTGGGGCTACAAACGAAGAACAACCCGCATTTTACGACAGAGCATGCAAGTATAGCTGGCGCAAGTTGGCGCAAGGCAAACATGACACTCGAGATGTCGGAACATGTAATTTGAAAAAGAACAAAAAATGGTTAGATTTTACTCGTTCAATGACGTCGTAGTGCTGAAATTGCAAAAATTAGCAATGCAATAACGTCGTTTATGTCGTCGTTACTTCAGAAAATGAAACAGAACTACGGTAACAAGTTACAGCTGGAAAAGATAGAGCGTAACAATTAAAAGTTACGAAAACGGTAGTGAAGCAACAGTAACGCGTTACTTGTGACGAGTTGCTACTTAAGACTGATAATGGCAGTCTTCGGTAGTAACTGGAACTGACTAACTTCCCGCTGTCTAATAATGCGCACAACACAGTTAGTTTTGCTCTTTTGCAGTCTTACGCTTTGCTTTCTTCTTTAGGTACGGTTGCGTTCACGATGGAGACGGACCGGCCAAGCACATTCATGGTCATAAGGGTTCCCAGGATCCAGACTGCGCCTTCAAGCACGGCTACATCATGAGTTATTTTGACGGCGGAATCAATAGATTTTATTTTTCTAAATGCTGTCTGGCGCAGATGCGCGTTTTCTTGAGGTATTTTGTCACTTTTATCTCTTATTTTTGTAAACATCAGTTCTTGGAACAGACGTGTCCATATATATCTAATTGGTTTTGATGCCCGTGGAGGCGAGTAATTAAATATTTCAGAAACATATAAATAGACACTCGGTAATATGCTTGTGTTTATGTTAATTCTTATGATTCTGTTTATTTTTGATCTCCAAAGCAGCAACATGCTTTCCGGTGGTGCATCACAACACAGAAGAAAAAGAAACATACACACACGCAGCAAACACACTAACATTATACATACAAATCACGAAACTAAACACAGAACAAAAAACAAATTCACATATCCTATTATACTTCTAACATTGTTAAGCTTTTTTTCTTTTTACCGACATACACCAGTTTCATATAAACCGATATAAACCAGTTCCACTGACATCAAAAAGCAAGAAGATAAATAAACGCTCACGTTGGGACAATAATCTTGAGCATATGGTACTTTGCCATTTCAAGGTTTGTGCAAAAAAACAAACCATGAAGATCTCGTGTTTCCGAAAGTGTGTCCATGCGTATTTTACTTAGCAGTGAGTTGTAGCGATAAAAATATTTCTTTGCGAGGTATCGATCATACATTAAACAAACAAAGTGTTCCTGGATGTTTTTAATACAGTTATATCTTGAAGAATTAAGCGAATTCTGGGCAGTAGAAGCCAAAGTCCAATTTCGAGCGGACAAATCAATTATACAGCACAAGGGCAGATGACAATGTTTTAAACTCTTACGTAATATTTGAGACCATACGTCGATCATTCTCAACGATGAAGCCACCACAGTATTAACGTGCGGGTCCATACCAGACGCGCGGAGTCCCGAAACACTCCAAGGTTGGGTATAAAGATGTTCTTTCTATTTCTGACATGTTGAGTTTGTAAGGCTATGTTTGATCCTATATGTTTTCGACTGTCGCCGACAGCCTAAGAGAATTAAGGGCGGAGATTATTATGTTAATTTATTCTTGTTTTGTGATTGGTTCTACGTTTGTCTTATTGTCAAATCCTGCAGTCTGATTGGCTGCGGAGCGGTAATGAGATTCTTGGCACCCACCACGCCCTGCGTGTCTTAAGATGTCATTGACAGTTGATACATCAAAGCCAGAAGAAATAGGGGAACGTTCGCTATAAACTTCCTTCCTACTGTTTTTTTTTTTTTTTAATAAGTTGTCCGTTTTTCGAGGTTGCAGAAAACAGTGGCATCGTTGAGACAATATTTCAATATTACGACAAGAACCTTATTATCAATAAGACAACCGCCATTTTGTCTCAAGGCTGCTTGAAAAAATGAGACAGCAGTCCTATTGTGTTATTGCGTTAGAATTTTTTTAACAAGATGGGAAAAATAAAAGGTTGTTTTAGTGCATTGTTTCAGACATTTCCCAATAAATAAAAAAAACTAACATTTTTTTTTCTTTTTTGGCGTGTTAGGTGACATGACGACCAAGAATCCTTGAGACTCGTTTGCATTTATAATGTTTTCTCTTGTTTGCTTACTTCAGTAATATTAGCATGCGACCTAGCTTCAAGATGCCCCAAATGTTGACTGTAACTCCCACTAAGAAACATATCAATAAATGTTTCTATCATTTTTGAACTCACGTAATTTCACATTAGGCATAAATTCCGGCTGCGAAAAAAAACGCCCGAAAAAGAGGAATTCAGGTAACACTTGAACATTCCTTTGAGATCACAACGTGCCGCCTGTTTAAGGTGGCTATTACCTAAAGAAACAGTACCTTAAAAACGGAACACCAGCGCACACTAGCTGACTAAGCTACTACTAAAACAAAACCTGAAGAAAACTTTTGTTGGAACTAATGTTAACAAACGGAAGAGAGATGATGAACTTCATAGGTAACTAACTTCTGGACTCAAAGATCGTCTGTTCCATCTCCGTGTTTTATGACCTTCCCATTATTTGTATTACCAATTTCCCGCAAAACAATTGGGGCAGCCAATCAATGCAACGTATTATGAGGCTCAAAATCTTTTTACACTTAAATGAACAATTTCGGATGGCACAGAAATCACGACGTAAGCAGGTGAAACGTCACTCACAGCGATGACCTTGAAAGGGAGGGGGGTAGGTATACCGTATATTCAATCTCGTCTTTCGCTCAGCTCCCTCTGTGGATAACGGCGATTGGCTCTCTCGTGTACTTTTCGGGCAAGAAGACTCACCAGATTTTTAGAATCTAAAATATACTCTCGTGGAAGATTTCACAAATTTGCGACATCTGTCTTCTTATTTTTCAGCAACCAAGTAGAACAGTGCTTCAAAAATACATTCCAAATGGACTTCATGAAGACCTTCCCGAATTTGCTCCCAGCCAGGGTCACATCTGTCGGCCGCTACTGCCAGGCAAAGTACCCAGATATGAAGAACGTCTTCTATGAACCGGTAATTCAAGATTTATCATACTTATAGTCACTGGCACTCTAAAGAAATGAAAGACGTTCAATGTATCTCCGCAGCCAATGAGATCGTGGCGTCAGCCGATGAGAGCACCAAAGAACGAATCATGAAAGATAAGAACATATTAAACCACGCCCTCCGTTTCTTAGTCTTTTAGTGACTACTGAGTTTGCTGTGACGGCCATTCAGCGACCGAGCCTCACTTGCAACTCCCATTTGCTGTTGGAGCACATCTTTTGTTTTTTTCAATTCCAGTTTATCTCACTGGCTTGCGGCTTTGTCCACTTTTGCCTGCGCTCGTCCTAGTCGATTCTTGCCACGTCCTTAGATGGTATGCGGCTTACTTTTTATATTAAGACTTTCCATGGTAGCCGCCAAACCCGGACCAGTGATTAACTGAATGCCACGAGATCTACAGTCACGCGATATGACAATGTCAACCAAGAACTATGAACATGCCGTAGTCACTCTTTGATTTATAATCGGCAGAACTGGTTAGTGAGCGTGAAACATCGTAAGATTGGCCACGTTATTCGCGGTCATTCACACAACTTCACTCTACATATAGTCCGTTGCAACCTAAGAGCAAAGGGCGAGGGTAAGACGTGCCGGGGAGGAGGAAGCAGACGGAAAGCAAAGGAGAGAAGGAGGTTTATCCCTCTCTTCTCCAGCCTTCCGTCTGCTTCCTCCTCCCCGGCCCGTCTTACCCTCGCCCTTCGTTCTTAGGTTGCAACGGACTATAGAACCATAATGACTTTGTTTCCATCGGTGGGCTTGTGAGGTACGGTTGCAAAAATAAAAATACAATTTTAAGATTCTCGTTTTTATCTTACTATCTCCATAAACTTTTTAACCGTAGGCCCCTCTATAATGGGATTTTGTTATAAAATTTCGCTGAAATTGCTCAAATAAATTTCTGCCGTAAGCCTTGTGATTTCCACTTTCCTTGCTCAAGGTCCACGAAGCAGTATGTGTAATGTTTAGAAATTTGGAATCGAAAAAGACCTCTTTCCCCTTACAGCTCCTAACGTTACTCCACTGGGTCGGGTTGCATAGCGTCGATACAGCAGATTAAGCCAATGTCTGATTTAAACTTAATTTTTTTGCTGACTGGAAAGAAGAGAAGAGGCTTATTTAATTTTATATATTTCAACTACACCCTTATAAAAAATACCGATGAAGTACGGGACATATCCCTTTTAACTTCTTGCAACAAGAAGTTCTGTGTCACTGAATAATGGAGCATTAACCGTAAGTCAATAGTACGGGACATGTTGGGGCAACAAGGTTAGCATGCCTGTGTCCCCCACACCACTATAAGGGTACAAGTGCTGCCTGATACGGAAAGTGTGTCATGTTCGAAAACAGCACATGTTCTGTTGTAAACAATGTCAGCGCAGGTTCCACTTTTAGGTCTGACTGCGCGCTCACAATTTTGTAAGCGTCCCCATAAAATGTAGTGCTTTTTTTACTGCAAAAATAAACTATGCATAGCCGAACGCTCAGTTTGCACCTAAATTTATCACAAGCCATCTGGACGAAATTAGAAAGTTTCAGAGCTTGTTATTTGATTCGAACGTTATAAGTCACTTTATGAAATTTTATATATAGAAATGTCTGCCAACGAATACATGGAGATGAATGACCCTAGCTTACAGGAACAGGCCTCACATTACCGGCCACTGAAATATTCCGAAAATCACTTATAACTATAGAATCAGATGGCAGGTTCCGAAATGTTGGCATCTGGTCCGAACTACTAGCGTCACCCCTCAGCGGAAACCGAGCACTTGGTAATACATAGATTATTTTTTTGAGGTGCAAAAAAACTAAATATATTTAGAGGACACTCTATATCATTGGACAGGTTTTGTGACTCCCATTCTAGAAGATGTAACACTTCGGGAAGGTTGTGTATGTCTCTGTTGTTTCACATATACATGCACATATAACTGGTGAACCCGAAGCTCTTCGTGGAGTGAATGCCGCGTTTTTTGTGCAAGCAATTTCGGTGGTTGCCTGCAATATGACCGTGTATTAAGGGGAAAATACACTTCTAAATTCATAGAGATTTGAAGAAAGGTGACATATACATCTTTGGTCCTGATGGTATTGAACCATTCAATTGAACATATTGTGAAGAAAAACCAAGTGTTTTTTGCCTCAAATTTTTATCATTTATATAAAATGAACATTATCAGCTGTACAGATAAAATGATATCTTATCAAACTACTAATACTTTATCCCAGAGGCGCTCCCGCAAAGCTCTCTGATCGCCATGATTAGTACTATCTTCCTTACCACTGACCTCCTCTCCAGCATTTGCTCTGCTCAAGTGGATGGAGCTCATCTTGAGTTTATTTTGTAGCAACAAACTATAGTGCTAAATGTTCTTGCCACTTCTTGAACTTCTAGAGTTCTCGGGTGTACCAGAGCCAATTTCTGTGAAGCCCGCCGGAACCCCTTCTGGGTTTATGCCCACGAGTCTTCTGCAAAAAATGTTATGTTAAAATGTGAGATAGGTTAAGTTACAGAAAAACTTATATACCTCTTTTAACTTAAATTCATAAGCTTTTTATTTATGTATTTACTGATTTCTTTATTTATTTATTTATTCTTTTATTTATTTATTCATTTATCTTAAAGTATATCAAACATATTCCTCCGGATTAGTCTGTTATCCTCTGGCAATCTAGCTAAAGAGAATTCCCCGATGTCGAAAACCACCTTAAGTCGAACATCTTCTGAAATAGGTAAGGGTCAGTCAGTAGCGACATAGAATATGCCCTGTGTGACCAACGTGCCTCAGAACTCGAACACCGCTCTAAGTCAGACAGTTCATGTGTTTTCTTAACAAATCGCTCCCAATTTGTATTTGTAAACGACTGTTCTTTCCCTTTAGTACCTGTAACATCTGGAGTCCCGCAAGGATCTTTATTGGGCCCTCTTCTTTTTCTGATATTTATCAACGACTTACCCTCCTGTGTTACATCTTCAATCACTTTGTTCGCCGATGACTGTGTTTTATATCGTGAAGTGACTAATGATCATGATGTGCCCTGTCTTCAATCTGATCTTAATTGTATATCTGAATGGTGTAACAAGCGAAATATGAAGCTTAACACTAACAAATGTAAAGTAATGAGGGTCTCCCGAATGACTGCTAATGTCTCATGCTACTACCTTTATTATATTTCTCAACAACTAGTGACGTCTTACAAATATTAAGGCGTTAATATTTCATCTGACTTATCTTGGGAAACTCATATTCAGTATATAACGAATAATGCTAACCGTTCGTTAGGATTCATCAAACGAAACTTCTCGTCAGTTACCTTATCTCTCAAGCTACTTCTTTACAAAACGCTCGAGCGCTCTAAGCTGGAATATGCCTCTTCAATTTGGAACCCTGGTACTAACGTATCGATATCGGCTCTTGAAGCGATTCAGAACAAATCTGTTCGTTTTATCCTTACCAATTATCACCGCATTTCCAGTGTGACATCAGCGAAACTAAGTTTGAACCTACCTAATTTTGCATTACGTCGAAATCTTAAGAGTTTGTGTCTGTTCCACAAAATTTATTACCATAATCCTCTGCTACGTTACAAGTTACTAACACCCCTCATTTACATATCATCACGTCTCGATCATCCGCAGAAGATGGGTATTCCTCAATGTAACGCTACAACTTTTTAAAATTCATTTATACCTCAGACCACGGTATAAACGGTATATGGAACCACCTTCCAGCGTCTGTGGCATCTATATCCGATTCCATCGCTTTTAAACAATGCCGTAACTGTGTTAACTTTTAGCATTTCATTATTATGTATTTTTTTCATTCTTAGTGTCGTGACTTGACGGGGCAACATACACAGTAGACCGGAGGACCATGGCCCAAGGTTTATTCCATGGAGCGTGGAACTAGAACGAACCTCTCGTGCTATCAAACTGACAAGACGATAAAGAGGAAGAGCGAAGGAACTAAAGCGCCGCCACTATAGTCCCAGTAGCGCGCGCTTGGCGGTAACTACACAACACACCTCCCCCTTTAATTACGTAGCAGCGCCAACGGCACTATTATACAAAAGTTAGGAGCGAGCTTCGTATCTGTCAGGCGGACGCCGTTCTCTCGATGGGTAGCGTCCTTCAGAAGTAGATCGGCCTGTAGGAGGTACAGGATCCCGTTGTGGGATGGTGTGAGGCTGTAGTGGCCCAGGCGCTTGTTCCGTGGTCGGGACACTTGGCTCGCCTGGTGAAAAGACCAGGAACCCCTCTGCGTCGTCGGTGTCCGAAGGTGCCGGCGTTGCCGTTGGCCGTGTTTGGCTCAAAAGTTGATCGAGGTGCCGACGCCAGATGAACTTGCCTCGAGGCGTGGTAACCTGGACTTGGTGAGATACTGGACCAGTCTTCTTGAGGACGGTACCACGTAGCCACCTCGGCGAACTCCTGCAATTTCGCACTAGGACATTGTCACCAGGGCAGATTTCTTCTCTGCTTATCCTCCGTTGCTTACTTTGTATAAATTGCTTGTGGATCACTTTCCCCTCTACCGTAGGCTTGATTACATCCAACCTGGAACGCAATCTTCTGCCCATCAACAAGTTTGCTGGCGTCTCTCCTCTTGTTGAATGTGGAGTATTCCGGTACGTCTGCAAAAAGTGTTGCAATGCTTCTTCCAGAGACTTACCAGCGGATGACTTGCGTAGTGCAGACTTCAGTGTCCACACAAACCGTTCTGCCAGGTCGTTTGTGCTCGGGTGGTATGGGGCGCTCACGACGTGTCTGACCCCGTTGTTCCTCATGAACGCCTTGAATTCCTCGGACACCAGCTGCGGCCCGTTGTCTGAAACGATTGTTTCCGGAATTCCGAACCTGCAGAAAAGTTCACGCAGGCAGCTCACAGTGCGCTCGGTCGTAGTGCTCTGCATGGTGAACACCTCTGGCCACTTTGAGTGCGCGTCCACCACGACTAGGAACA